TTTGTCGGTCCCTGCCGGCCAGGCATAGCCAGTGGCTGCCACGCGTCGTTTTGGTCTTAGGATCAGACCTTCCAGGGATCACCAGTGGCATTCACTGGATAGCAGATCAAAAGTTTTAGAAGAGGGCTCAGCAGCAGTGTAGTGAAAATTATTTTAGAATAGATAATAACACAGGACTGACTCAATTGGTCACGTCTAATGAGGTGATAGTCCCAGATAGCGGCTATTATCAGATGTGTCAGATGAAAGTATCACACAGGCCTCATGCCCATATATCTCACTGTGTAGAATACAGGCAATTCCTTGCTATTCAGAGATTTTCCAGTGTGCAATGGATCATCTTTGGTAGAATTTATTTGTTCCTCCTAAAGCTAAGGACTGAAAAGCCTTGTAAATGTCAGCCTGGCTCCTAGAATCACAAAAGCTGTCCCCTGTTGATCCTGGAGCCTGTGGTTTAGTGAACCTTAGTCTGGGATGTGCATGACTAAGGGAGGCCTAATTGTTATTTATGCACTAAGTAGAATTTATTACCTTTGCGTTTCCAAAAAGATGTGAAAGGGTCTAGCCACAAATGAGAATTAGACCTAGTGATATTTTTCCCCCAAGAGTTTTTACTTATAAGTAGCTGTATGTTACGAGGAGAAGGAACATGGAGGAACCTTCCAGTAGATTCTACAACATGTCTTCTGCCCCCAGTCTTTGTATAGGAGATCTGCCTTACTTTGCAGCTCTCCGTTGACTTGGGGTCCATTATGGGCTACAGCTAGCCAAAATACATTACAGCACCCCCATGCTACCTTGTATAAGAGTGGAAGTTCGGAGAACTCAAAATCATAGAATTATAAATACTGTCTTGGATGCACTGCAATAGCCTCCATGACATACCCTATATAGCCAACGTTAAATAATGAGGGGTTTCTAGAACTAGGGTTTCTAAGATGACACATTTCACACTGGTAAATCTTATGACAAATTGTTTGATTTCTGCTTGAATCATAACCAGAAGTATTATTGAAAGCTGTATAAAGACTGTGCTGTTTACCATCTGGATATATTTTTAGTAGCATTTTTTACAGGCATAAGCTGCATGTTTAAAACAGAATGAGGTGGTCAGCTCAGACAAACCAACTGGAAACTGCACTTGCCCTTGCATGGAGTTATGTTTGCTGTGTGTGCATCAAATTTACTGGATAGTAGATGCTCTTATCACTAGCAGTGATTGTGATAAGAGAGTGTGTGCCAAGCTGACCAACTTTTCTTTTCTTCAAAAGACTGCAGACTCAAAAGCATTCTCTTCATCTGCTCCTCTCTCTTCCTCTGCCCTCTCTTCCTCTACTGTCACAACACAGCCACCTCCCAGACTTACACGCAGAGTCAATAAGCCACAGGTAATCATCTTTCCTGATTACTGTTCCATTACTTACAGTTGATTCCATGCCATGCCATTGTTTTATCATATGCTTGTTTAGCCATTCATTGATTCCACAGGTGAGATATTTCTCCTGTCATTTAATTCAGAATTTTTATTAAAAAAAAAAAAAAAATCATTTAAAAATTACTTCCAGGCTGTGCAGAAGGGCAGGTATGGGCAAAATCTTCA